GAAGGAAGACTAAAGTGACATTTAGAAGTAAAGTCGTATTTTATATCATCATGTAAAATTAAAGAATTAATTCATTTACTATATTTGAAGAAACGAAATAAACAAAAACAAAAAACAAAATAAAATAAAAAGGAAAATAAATGAAAATAAAGTACACAAAAATACGACAAAAAACAATAATAAGACCGAAATACATAAAAACAGAATAAATAAAAACAGAATAAATAAAAAAGCAAATAAAACAAAACAAAAAAAAGCATAATATAGAAAAACAGAGAGAAAGCAAATTAAATAAATAAATAAATAATAAAAACAAACAACTAACTAATAAATAAATAAATAAACAAAAAAATAAATAAATAACCAAATAAAATAAATAGGTAAAAATAAATGAAAATAAAACAAATAAAAATCAATAAAACAAAAACTGACCCAAGTTGAATCCGAAGTCGATGATGGCGACAGTGTTCATCGGCTGCTCTGATATTGTCCCTCCGCCTCCTGAAAATAAATAAAAAAATAAATAAGTAAATAAATTAATAAAAAAGTAAATAAGTAAATAAATAAATAAATAAATAAATAAATGAATAAATAAATAAATGAATAAATAAATAAATAAATGAATAAATAAATAAATAGATGAATAAATAGATAACTAAATAAATAGACGAATAAATCAATAAATATATAAATGAATAAATAAATAGATGAATAAACAAATAAATAGAGGAATAAATAAATAAACAATAAATAAGTAAACAAATAAATAAAAAAATAAATAGGTAATAAATAAGTAAATAAATAAATAAATAAAAACATAATAAATAAGTAAATAAATAAATAATAAATAAATAAATAAATAATGAATAAATAAACAATAAATAAGTAAATAAATAGCAAATAAATAAATAGATAATGAATAAACAAATAAATGAATGAATAAATAAATCGATAATAAATAAGTAAATAAATAAATAAATAAATAAATAACAAATAAGTAAATAAATAAATAATTAAATATATAGATAATAAATAAGTAACTAAATAAGTACTAAATAAATAAATAGATAATAAATAAGTCAATAAAAAAATAAATAAGTGAATGAATAAATAAATAAATAAATGAATAAATAAATGAATAAATAAATGAATAAATAAATAAATGAATAAATAAATAAATGAATAGGTCAATAAATAAATAAATAGATAATAGATTGATAAATAAATAAATAAGTAGATAAATAAAATTAATTAATTAATTAACTCATTAATCCATTAATTATTCATTAATTAATTAATAATTAATTAATGAAATTAAATTGATTAAATTTCACTACGTTAGTTAAATTCCAAAAAGTGGTAATTAACTGTCAGAATAATTAATTAAAAAGAAAATAAATAAAACATTTAAATGGACTTTTCGTAAACTGCAAAAGAGTGGTTAGGAGAGGGTTATTTAGTATTCGGCTAGCCAACATACTAGCTAGCTAGCTAGCTAGCTAGTCAGCTGGCCAGCTATTCAGCTAGCTAGCTAGTCAGTTAGCCATTCAGCTAGCTAGCTAGCTAGCTAGCTGGCTGGCTAGCCAGTTAGCTAGCCAGTTAGCTAGCCAGCTTCATTGTCTGTCTATTCAGCTTTCAGGCTGTGTGGCTAGCTAGGCAGCTAGCTAGCTGGCCAGCTAGCTATACAGGAACATAGCTAGCTAGCTAGCTAGCTGGCTGGCTGGCTAGCTAGCTAGCTGGGAAGGACAAATATATGTTACGATGTGGAGACACCGCATCTGCGGTGTGTCAACGATTGGCTCTAAACCCTCTCCCTGCCAACCCTGAACCCTAAACCCTAAACCCTAAACCCTAAACCCTAAACCCTAACCTTTTGAGATTTTCCAGGCCCTTCTCGCCTGGACTCCGCCGTCGTCCATGAGTTCCCATTGAGCTCCAGTTTGCAGATAAGGGTCATTAGGCCACTGCTGGGTTTTGCGGTCATCCCTAAACCCTAAATTAGGGTTTAGGGTTTGGGCTGCGGGGAGGGCGTCGCTGTCGGCCTCCTCGGGGGCGCTGCTGCTGCGCACTTGAGGGCCTGCGTTGCTGCTGAAGAGCTGTTTAGGGTTTTGTGATTTATTTTTATTTTCCTTTTTATTTTCTTTTTTGTTTTCTTTTTTAATTTCTTTTTCGTTTTCTTTTTTGTTTTCTTCTGTTTTCAAATTCGACTCCGCCAAACTGTTGTCTATCGGCCACGCCTTATAGTCGAAGTCCACTGCAGTCACGCACGAGCTCCTCAGCGCCAGCTCCTGCCCGCAAACCCTAAACCCTAAACCCTAAACCCTAAACCCTAAACCCTTGAAATGCGGTTTGGAGCTCAGGAGGGAAAGGGGGGCCCGGCAAAAGGCCGAAGCATCCAAACCCCCGCAGTTCAACGAGCAGCAGTCTGCTGCTGCCCAATAAGGGTTTAGGGTTTAGGGTTTAGGGTTTAGGGTTTAGGGTTTGCGGTTTGTAGTTGGGG